CACTGTACCGTCCTTTTTTTCCAATTCCATTATTGATTTATTTTTAAAAATTCTGCTTTCTAATTGTAAGAAGTACTTTGATGGTTTTTCCCCTTGTTCTATCCACTTTGCCTTAGATCTTATGTATAAACCTTTTATCTTTTGTTTGCTAATTTCTTCTAAGTCTTGTTTAACTTCATTTACTATTTTTTAATATTTCTGTCTTTTTCCCGTCTGGTTCTGTATCCAGGTCGATTACTGTTTAAAACTGGTTAAAATCTCTTGGTGAGGTGTTCCCTTGTCACATTTATTGCACTGGTTTCAATTCCCATAATTTTCATTTTACCACGCACATCCAACACATGTAGAAACTGTGATGCTTGGTTTGATGTGCAACAGCCTCACTTGATCAAATGAACCAACACTTACCTCGGTATCTGAGACCGATGCACATGGCCCTCATGGCGCCCGCATCCACCACCTCTACAACACAAACATCAACATCTTTACAACATCAACATTGGCATCTCTTCATTATCAACATCAACACATATCAAACACTGATATTTCTACAAGACGAATGCTAATAATTTAACAAGATGAAGCTATATATATTTTTCAAAACTTTTCCGACCCTTTCAAACAAATGTGACCAAACTATCTTCATAAACTTGAATCAGGTAAATATCACTGATGCTAAGTTATAACAGTAAATATAAGTCCAAAACCTCAACCCACTTGTGCTATGGATCCTTATACTGCCCCCTTCACTGTCCAAGCTGACTGACAGAGGGCACAGAAAACAAATGGGTGAACTCCTTTCATGTTGCCTACCTGCTATTGAAAGGAATCTTGTATCCATCATCTAAATTTGGCTTCAGTTTATGTGTCATCATCATGCATGTAGCTCCTGGAACCAAACAGAGCCTGCTTATCAGTGCAAATACAGTGATTACCAAACCTGTTAGAACATAATTTTGAGCTGATCACTCTCTCATTAGTGAATACTGATTAATGCCAGGAACAAACACTTGCTATTTAGGCCACTGTGTAATATTTAATGGCTTCCATAGTGTAATGGATAGCATGGCAAGTAATACATCCTGCAATATACAACATGGAGAAGGGTAAACAATGACAAGTATACAAGGCTCAATACAGACTGGAGAGGGTGGTGGTAAAGGGGGTCAGGGTGGTGGTAAAGGGGTCAGGTAAAGGTAGTAAAAGGGAGGGTGGTGGTAAAGGGGTCAGGGTGGTGGTGAAGGGAGTCAGGTTGGTGGTAAAGGGGTCAGGTAAAGGGGTCAGGGTCAGGTGGTGGTGAAGGGAGTCAGGTGTGTTGGTAAAGAGGGTCAGGTTGGTGGTGAAGGGGGAACTCGGTGTTGGTGAACATGCAAAAAGCGATTCAAAGAGGGTTTGAATACATTTTTGCTCGGATTAATTTCAAGATTTAAAACAAAAAAGACAGAGCATCAGTTATACCTGGGGCTCTTCCAGCCATATCTTTCATGCATTCTTTGTACTTGCGGGCTATGTCGCGATATGTTTCCACCAGGCTTACGCTACTCGCTTCAGACACAAGAGCTGTAACACAATAACAGTTGTTCTAATACAACACAATAAACATATTACCAGCATATATATGAAAACCTATAAAACATCAAGCCAAGTGTGTTTAGTCTGTAGAATGTTAAGTACAGATTAAAAAGAAGACATTTTCATGATTTTATAGTTACACCATTTATATAGTTATTTAACATAAAGATGTAATATTTATCCTTAGTTCACAAAATTATTAATATAATCGAAGTTTATTTATTTCAAACAATTTTAGATGAAAATCAAGATACCTTCGCCTGTGGCCAGGTGCATGACGGTGTCATCGCTCACCATCCAGTCACGGCCTGGAACACCATCAATATAGTATGGTAATACAGTGAACACAAAATAGAGAATAATATGACAGCGAGTTAAGGGGTCTTGCTCAAGCACAACAAACAAGATCTTTCTCCTCAATAATACTAACTGTTCACTTTGATCTTCTCTAGTCCTCCCATCTTCTTCAGATCTTTGAGAATGAGTTTTCCACTGTGACAGAACTCCCATTCTCCATTTTTGTACCCAAGAGCATCCCCCACTCCAGCAAGTACCATTGCAGCCTTGTACCGTTCCAGCATGCTGACTCCATTATGCTGAGATGATGATGTTGCCATTCTTAAAATAAATTTCAATTACTTATGTACACTACAAACAAAAGAAAATAACATGATTAACATCTGTACCTGTGTACCTTGGCAACATATATATATACAACAGAAGAAAAAGACAGTGATTTGTACATACACATGGGTTTAAATGTGTGATGTGAGCGAGTGAGCTTCAAATGATTCTGTTCAAACAGAGGTGGTGACAGAGAATCCCACAGCATGAACCTTATAGCCAGCTTGTCTAATCTAGTGTTGATGTTTATTTGTTTTTTGTAACGCCACACTCAGCAATATTCCAGCTATATGGCGCTAGTGTTGATGTGATGTCCCTACCTCATCACTCACTGACAGACTTGGTCTTCAGTCCAGGAAACAATGGTCCTAGAATCCCTCACCATGAGCACTCCTAAGATCTATGCTTGTTTTTATAAACCTGTCACCTACACTCCACGAGGCCTTATCTATGATTGTAACACCCACTAATTGATACTTTTGCCACTTTGTAGTAAGACTCGGAGAAAACCTACAATGACAGTCACATTAGGGTCAAAAGTGTATTAGGGTTTTGTTGAGGAACAAATGAATTTGTTCCAAATATCCTTTGGCATATCCCATGATAAACTGTTCAAAAACACACAGAAATGGTACGCCAAGGCCAAATTGAAAAGTTTCCAATGAATGTTGGCTGTACCAAAACCACTAGGCTACCCCACCGCCCCCTTTAAAGAATAGACTTACTATACATCCATGGCTACTCAAGAGGAAATCCCCACAGAAAGGTCGAAGTCAATGTGGCAGAGACTGTTCCATAAATCTGAACATCTAAATCTTCTCACATGTTAGAATGTTGTGATAGTCTATATTCATTAAAGTTGTGTGCATGAGGAGGGTCATCAGTAAAGCAGGTCACGCTTACCTTACTGAAACTTGAAACAGAAACTACTGCCTGTTGACCCTGTTTGTGGTCGGGGATAACATGGGGTTAACGCTAGAGGGAAGACCACAGTGACGTCAGTGTTTTGATCACGTGACGCACCCGAGTACTTCCGGTAGGCAGAAGGTAAACATAAACATGAGAGAACCACACAAGCTGCACTCATTTGATCGTCGACTTTACATACTTAACAACTCTTCCTGGTCTGTTTTTTTGGCTTGACACTCAGTGCATCTTCAATCACCAGAATTGTCCTTGTGACGATAGACACATAACAATATTATGTTATTGTTATGACATACTGACATTTTATAATATCTCCCCGTGTTAGAACATTATTCGAAAATCATCGCCCGCGAGAACCATTACAACTTCGAAATTTGTAAAAATAAAGATCTACGCACCGATCTAATTCCAACGAAAACAGTTGGATCTATCAAAAGGATGGCACATTTTTTTCGGTATCACGATGCATGTGGAGTTGTTTGTTTACCACCGTTGCCATGATCGTTCCTATTCGTCCAATCGGTGATGTAACATTGAGAATGTTTTTGTTTATAAATAATTAAACCGAAAGTTACTAATTTTTAGGAAATGGGAAACTTTGGTGTTTTCTCTTGACCAAAGAACAAAAATACTGATCAAATTAATAAAAAAAATATTTCATTATGAAGAAAATATTAGACAGGGTACCACTCAACGTGACGTGCCTGAAGTAAAAAATGTCCGTTATTTGCGGGTGTGTACTGAGAATATTGGCGAACAAATTTTTAGTTCGCTGTCGTTTCGTTTTAAGCTACATAAACTAATTGTAGATTATATATTTAGAAACCTGAGAATTAATTCATTCCATACATAATTCAAATGACATGTAAATCCGACTTGTTGAATAATTATTGCAAGTTTTATATGGAGATGTCATTATGCTGCTCTCCTGTCGAATGGGTTCGACGGTAGCATTGAGAGGATTAAGTACATAATCCGATCATTGTTTGCTTTTTACGCTACACAGGTTCTCATTGTTATCGTCAGCCATTGTTGCTTTCTGCCTACCGGAACACGAGTGAGCTTAGTTCGTGAGGTCACTTCCGTAACCATATGGACTTTCCTATATCTCTCACAGTGGCTTGAACCACAATATTTTCCCTACTGCCTAGCCCTCCCTGCTATGCTAAAGTCTTAAATGAAGCAAGTCTAGATTTCGATCCTCGGGTTCTGAATTTCCCACCTCACTGGGGCTCATTTTCAATTTAATTTTTTTATGGGTTTATTTGTAACTGTCAAAATTATACATATTCAGAGACTAAGCGTTAGTCTAGGTTAGCCCATGTATGGCCATGATTGGCTTTAATAGAGAGAGTAAGGGTCATTTGTTAATGAGTGGTGACAGGGAACATGTAAACAAAGAGAGAAAATCCATGAATTGGAACCTCAGTTTCTCTGGGGTTTTCCGGTCTGTCTCGTGCAGGTTCAAGCTGTGATTAGTAATGTATCTTTAGGATGTCATGCGATCTAGAATAATCAGTAAGAGAAAATATACAAACCCAAAATATTTCTAATTGAAAGTTTTGCAAAATACCTCTGAAATAAACGTGACAGCATAAGCGAAACACGTTAATCCAGGCTAAAACCGATAGTGAGCATTACCTCGGTCGTCGCTATACTATTCTATCCAATGAAACCTGTCACATGTGTTTGTCTCTTCCGTTGTTTACATACTGTATTTTCGGCGCGCACCTACAATGACAGTCACTTTGAGTAATACGCGAGATGCAACCAGGGTGTACAAGTCGATAAATTCAGTCCCACACCATGTTATCTGAGAGGACGTCACAGGCAGAACGAAGCACGTTGATTGGCTAGATTTCTGTCAAATCCCGGCACTTATCAACAAACCTCGCGTGTACAACCAGGAAGTAACTAACAGTGTCTTGATAAAAGTAGAGAAGCCTTCTCAACCTGTGGTGTAACCGTGCGCATTTACACTGATAACTCGCACTCCACAGGAAACAGCGGAGACGAGCTGACAATGCCCCAACTGACAGCTGATTCCAAATGGACGTGACATGTCAGTGACATAATGGACAACGTGCAACAAGCAGATATGGACGACACCACACCTGAGAGGACAAAGGTGACACTTTACCTTTTCAATTCGTTTGCAGATAGGCTTACTAAAAATTGATGTTTCTCATGCACGTGGATAAAGCATGGCATGAAATGAACAGGATTCAATCATTAATACTAACACATGAAAGTTACTGGAAGTTATTATTTTATTTATACCTGCACATGTGTATCATCAATTAATTTATTAACTTTTGCGATATCCAATATGATGGAATATCATTTGTTAAGTGAAACAGTTAATTGCTGTTATAAAGGCTCGACTATATTGGAGACCATGTACCGATATATTGTCTTCAATACTGAAAAAATTATCCAAAAGGAATCGAGCATGTTGGTTTCCAAGCTACTTTGCAAGGACAATAGTTTAAGATTTTTAAAGTTTACCACAGGGTGCTCCTGAAGATGTTAAGTGTGCCATTAGGAATGTACTGGTGCTATTAACAAGAATATGTTTGAACCATCTGGCAGAAAGGGAACTACATAAATGCAAACATATTTCTATAAGGTAGTGTTCAGTTCAGATAGACGATTTAAATTGGGAATTTGACTGGCATTTCAATTGTGACTAACATTTGGGTTGTCACCCCAAAGACGGGGGGTTCATGTTATTGCTGGAATATTGTTAAAAGTGGCGTAAAACTAAAACCCACTCACTCACTCACTCACTCAAACTCACTGTGATTAACAATGATGCTGCAGCCTGTTCCATATTTTTTATTGTTTTGTTTTTTTAAACCTATACAATATAATCGTTCTAACCAATATCTTTATTCTTGGTGTGTCTTTTTTATTTGAGTTCACATACATGTATATGCATGTATATATGTATTGGTTGGTTAGTTCGCTGACATTATACTGTCAGTGCATGGATACATTGACTATTTGTGTAGGGTTGACCATAGTGTATGAATACAAGATATCACTGACCATTGTCAGTGCATAAATACAATGTCTCAATGATTAGTCTCAATGAATAGATACTTTGTGTCATTGACAGTTGTCAGTATAGATACAATTTACCATTGGCGGTGCATGGATACAGTGTGTTATTGACCATTGTCGGTGTAAGGATACAATGTGTTATTGACCATTGTCAGTGCATGGATACAATGTATCATTGACAATTGTTACTGCATGGATACACTGTGTCAGTGACAAGTTTCAGTGCATAGATAAAATGTTTCACTGACCAGTGTCAGTGCATGGATACAATTAATCATTGACCGTTATCATTTGACACAAAGTATCATTAAACATTGTCAGTGCATGGATACAATGTATCATTAAACATTGTCAGTGCATGGATACAATAATTAAGTGACCATTATCAGTACAATAATGGATGCATTGATGCTCTGAAAGAGCAGGGTCTTTGAATTCCATTAACACTAAATGTTTACATTATTCGGGATATTCAGTTGTAGGCATTGTGGAGGATGTTATTATGCAATCAAGAATTCATGATACACTGTATGTAGTACCGCCAGGTTTACTGACACAAAATCCTCATTCAGAACAGCCAGTGAATTCCAGGTTCTGAATCTACAGCAACAACTGAGCATTGTGTCATCATAATGGCTGAATGTGTGTTATGTGATCCACTTTAGGAGATTATAAAACTGACATGAGTTATGTGTGACACATCTCAAACATATTCGTGTTACAGGATTAACTTTTTTGCATCAGCTTTTCAAGTCGTCAGTAGACATGTTTATGTGAGGTTTTATCATAGGACTTCATCCATGTGTGAGGTTCTCTGAAAAGACTGAATTCAGCCAGTATGTTATCATTAGACATCTTTGACATTGTCAGTGTGAGAGTTTGTCATGGAAACAAGTTCAAAACACAAACAGTTTTAACTTGAAATCAGGAAAATATGTTTTGGTGCTCATTTCAAATTTGCAATGCAAGGGTTGGCCTAAACACTCATATTTGTGACTTACAATTATCTGATGTTAAATGTTATGGTATCAACCAACATATGAGCCTGCAGCCAGAGTATAGGTGACTTGATGCTCACATAATGTGACTGTCAGCATATATGGTCTTGTTGGCAGTGTCTCAAGTCAGTTAGATTTCGTTGGTCAAAGTCACCAGACAATGACACTGACAGTAATACACATTGTCAGATAAGAACAACTGATTCATAAATCTTCAAAATCAAAACACCTCAATGGCAGTTCATGCATGATGTGTTGTTGAGAGTTTTGTTTCAAAGATACATCTTTAGACACATCATCATGGCAGCTTGTCATGATGTTTTTGGTTACTGTCTAATCACTGAACAAGATTAAGAATAAGCCTTCACTTCGGTATATATGGCTTTTTTGAAAAGTCTTATGAATGACAGCAGATATACTGGGAGAATAATGCGAAAGTTTGTTTTGTCCATTGTGAAGATTTTTTACGCTATAAATGTAGTTTTTTCCATTTAGCATTCACACAGAAAGTTCAGTAGAAGATTGCTTGGGACGTATTAATTCAACATACTTCCTTTTAGTTGTGTTACAATACAGCAGCACATTGTTGTATCACGATATAAGGCTCACAATACAATACCTCAATATACCACTCTTAAACATATATGATTCATTGAATATGCACTTGATTTAGTTGTAGATTTCAGAAGTGAATCAGATCCCCCTCCTTTAATGGGTAGGTTTCATTTTCTGTCTGTAAATTTGATGTGATGTATGGGTGTGAGTTGAGAGTTGAACCTACAGTTTAATATACATGGGAAGTAATATGAAGCTGATCATTTGTCAGATGAAGTTGACATTAATACTGCTGTTGATTAGTTTCTGCAGCTTTTGCATTTTTGTGGGTGTTCAGCCAAGAGTATTTACTTCCGGGATAGGTGGTACATCGAAAAACAACCCATTTGGTTTGATAATGAATGTAATGTATTGAAGCAAAAAGAAAAATACCTTTTTGATTTTACTCTGAATGTGTAAAACATTAATTTAAAAACATTATTTTAAAAATAAAAAGTCATTTTGTAATGCTTGTAATGATAATCGGCAACAGTATACAGATTATTTCATGGGTGAGATTAGTCTCCGGGAGTGTTGCTGTCAAGGATTCTAAGTATTTTCTAGAAAGATCATATCTCTGTCACATATGAAACTACATGTTTCGTCTGTATAGCCCAAATTTGGTTTGAATATTTTGAAATGTAATTAAGTCCAGGAAGTGTAGATCAGCAATCTGCATTTGATGATTTGTTGATTGAGGTTACAGATTTCATTATGGACTGAGATATTGAAGAATGTGCAAGTTGTAAGTTGTAATAACTCCTAAGTTTATCTGGTGCAATTACTCAAGGGGAGATTCCAGCAGCTATTAATTCATTTAAGGAAAATAAATCCTCCGGTACAGATGGTATACCCCCTGAATTATTAAAAAGGCTTCAATATTAAAGTACTGTCGGAAATGCTAGAAAAATGCTTTTTGACTTATATTTAAAATTCAGAGGTATTACAGTTACTTAAATAACAAATATCACTTCAAGAAACATCTACCTAATGTAGACCGAGGGAATAAAGTTTGAGACGTGCCCTAAAATGTGTTTTTACTAATGAAAATACCCAAAACTTAGAAAAATTAGAGGTAGTGGGACGTTATTTGATACAAACATTAACTGCCTGTGTTACGTCATCAGCATGTACGGTATCGACAGGTGAAATTGACATCTGAGCACACGCTCGGGGGAGGGGTCATCTCAATAGATGTTTTCTGCAAAACGTTGAATATGTGGACGTATAGCATACGTATCGGTTATGTAAGGGATCATTTGTGTATGTGTGTTTGTTTTGAAATAAACATACGAATTACTGTACATTGGAAAGAATCCAATCACTTGTGTTATCTTATCGACTGATTGTAGAAATGTGCAACGTTTTAATAAATGTTTTGCATGTCAACAGTATATTTCATTGAAAAAAATATGGATGTAATTCGGTCAGTTTAATCTAGTTGTGAACATTGGCCAAAGATTTAACGAAGTCACTGGTGTAGCTTCTTTAGAATATATATATTTTTCTTCAATCTTTGCAACAATCGACTGCAAATCATTGGCCATAGTGGACGCTGTGATAAAGATGTGCATGCATGACGGGAAACTTATTTATCAAGACTTAACATTTATATTAAAATGTCTTCAATAAAGAAACGATAATTAAGTAAAGTAACACAAACATTCAACATTTATTTGTTTAGAAAAAACGTTAATTCATATTTTGACACCACCTGTATTATTAGCATAAATGTAAAGACTATTTCAGATTTCTGTTGTTGAACTCTGAAAAAATCTTAAGTTGCTGTTTAGGTACCAAATTCTCTCCTGTAAACTGCCCTTTAAATGCATGGGAATGTTAAATCGATTGAAATAAAAATTAGGTAGACAATAGGCGAGTTGATATATTGACAACATAGTACATTTATCACCTTTATAAAGATGTTAAGGCTAAAAAGCATTTTTCTAGCATTTCCGACAGTACTATAGTACCCTATTTTGAAGGTTAATTCACTGCACTTCTGGGATGCTAGTATTATAGTGGGGAGAACCAGCTGACCTCAGTAACTATCAAGGTATTTTGCTTTGTCGTCAGATCTATTTTGGGGGGTTAGAATTACAGAAGTATTATTGCTGAGTCTCGGGCAGGTTCAGGAGTAATTAATCAGAAGTAGATAATATATTTAACCTTCAGTCACTGTGTCAAAAATATTTAAGAAAACATAAGCATCGTTTATATGTGGCATTTAATGATTTTCGTAAAGCATGCAAATACAGTGGAAACCTGATAAGTAAAATTTCAAGGGACTCGCCAAAATTGTTTACTTATCAGGTATTTTACTTATCCAAACTTATAAAAACCTGCAAATGACAACCATATGCATGTATATGTATGCATATGTACCAATGGACCAATTAATCAGGGCTGGCCTCCGGTTGTCAGTGTATTGTCAACTGCGTGCTGCCAGCGAGCTGTAAGTAGGTGTTTA